GATTCGCTAGCGAATCCACTGGTTCGCAAAGGTTGACAGCGACCTCACAATGAACACTACCTTCACCATCCTAAACAACTGGATCAATTTGTAGCCACATGTTTACGGAGTTTATTGTGACCTTCATTGGGGACCACAAGAAGGTAGCAGTTTTATGTGCATTGCAAGGTGTACATATGTACAGATATATCAATTCGGCATAATCGGGCGATGTGTAACTTCTCAGTACTCGCTCGAGGAGGCGGGCGAGCGTCAGTTGAGAGTCAGCTCCTTTGTTTTACACGCCAATTTTTCAGATTTTTCCAGCAAATAATGCCCAAGCGTATTTCGCGGACAGGTGAGATTTTGAATACTGCGCGACTCTGAGGTCTCTGCAACATGATTTGCCCCGAAGGTGTGATCGAAATAGAGTTCTATAACATTTCTCAAGCCATTAAGACTACCGCCAAAATGATTCGTTCGCGAGGAACTCGAGAATTTTGGGTAAAAATTATTCTTTCCTTGTTATACCCAGCTGTTTAGATTTCTTACAAACCTGCTCCAGCCCACAGTTGACACTCGTCGATGTCAACACATGTTCGTCCATCAGCGGCTGAAACAATCAGAGGAATTATAATGACTAAGGCTGATGCAGAGTCCGCAATCCGTCGCGCGGATCGCAAAATTGCAAGTGCCCCGTTGAACATTTGAAACACTGAATATGAAACAAGTAGAATCATGAACAGTCGTCATTCAACCATCACCATCAAGCAGAAATGGCGGCGGGATTGGAGAGCACCTCGCAGTATTGATCGGGCACTTGTGATTTCTGTGATCCGTCGCGCGACGGATCGCGGACTCTGACACCAGCCTAACTGAAGCTTAACTACGTCTACAAATGGTACTCACCGACAGTGTATCCTCGATCGCAAATGCACTGATATGATCCAGGAATATTAATACATTTCTGCTCACATCTAGCTTCTCCAGTAAGACATTCGTTGACGTCTAAATGGGTCAGATAAAAAAGCTTAAGAACTTGAATCGTGAGGTTGTATTGCATGACTTCCAGAACTGTGCGCATTTCGTATATGTGCTTCTTAACTCCTTAACGACACGACGATTTCTCCTGTGCCCGCTGCATGGAAATCTTTTTTTCATCCTCAAAAATAAATCTCGATGCTAGAGGCTATCTACACTAACAACTGAGTCAAAAGTGACCCCCGATAAATGATGTTGAGACTATTATCTCAAACCTTTCCGGACTGCCTTCAAACAAATGAGAAACCTCCTCATTCGCTGAAGAGGATACGTGGAGCAGACATTGATACTTCAATTTTCTGCTCCAGAATCCGTGTATGGGTTGGATAGGGATCCCTGCTTGAAAGGTAGCAGTAGTGTATCACCCAAGAAAAAAAATCACAAATATATCCGAAATATAATACTAGTTCAATTCAAGAGAAGCACTTTTAAACACTCTTTGATAAACTGCTCATTGTGAAAAATGTGCGCTGACCGCGGTCACCATACATGCCGCATTGTCCGCTATGTGGTCATTTATGCCACTCACGTCCTCGAGACTCACACTTTACAAAATCGTATGTATTTGGTTGTGAATTATCCGCCTTTTTTAATCAAGCTCATGGCGTTTTGAACTTTGGCAGATTATTTTCAATGACCGCACGAGATTTCGGCTTGCATGACTTGATCTAATCAATGCAAACTATTATCAAGTCTTCTGCACAAAATCGATATTTTCAATCAATATAGGTCGATGGCCTATGACCTGTACGGAGTTTTGACCCCCTGATGACCTATTTCAATCAATACTGTGAACCGTACCACTCCTGAGCCCTCTGCGCAGAACCCTTATTTTCGATCGATACTGATCGATAGCTCAAGGATCTATACAGTTTTATGTAACGTTTGTACTAAGTTCTCGTCCATTTTCTTCTCCTGTAGTCAGGGGCGCGACATCAACGCTTGTGCGCCTGTCTTCCTCAGAATGTAACAGGCGTGCGCGCCTAATCCTTGAGCTAGCCTCTTAACTCCAGCCTTCGCCCACTTTAGGTGGGCTCCGCTCAGATTAGGTATGTTGGGGCACCATCAGTATTGCCCTCCTTCACCATTTTTTTGTCCTCTGAAGGCATTCTAATATTAACCGGGTTAAGAAATTTTTTTCCTAAGCGCTGTCTAATAAGTGCTTCCGAGTTTTTCTTCAACTGAACCCGAAAATATCGCCATCTTAACCGCTTGATTCATCCTGTCTCAGGGCAGAGTTCTATCCACAGTGCCCTGCTGATGCGTATTTTGTACTTCAGGACCTATATCCACCCATCCCAAACTCGACCTGAGTCTGCAGGTGGTTTCACGTAATAGTTTCGCGGCGACACAAAACATCACACATGAACACACGCACGCACGAACATATTACGTGCAAACAAGAAGAAGCTCGAAGCTAGATCCAAGCGCAGTGCATTGCAAGAATCTACAGCCACGGGTTCACAAGCAGGTTCAGAAGTGATGCGGTGAGTTTAGTTTTACGCTATAAACCGATAGTGAGAGCTATAAGCGGAAAACAGAGTGAGCCCGACAACTCGTCTGAGAATGCCAGCGGAATTTCAAAGCCACAGTATACCACTGACGTGTGTTAAGGAAAACAAGAACGTACTTCCACGACATCACAGTTTGGGATGGACAAGAAATAGCAGACGTTCTTTAGCCGAAACATGCTTGACCTAATGATACCTTTAGAAAGAACGTCTCTGAATTGGCCATCCAAAAGTTCGGTACGATGTATGAAAAGTAGGATGCGAGCATGAAGAAGAGACACAGCTTCCGCATTTCGACAGGATCCTGGTAGATTTGGATTTGTACAGGCAATCACATACGTCCTGCCCTTCAACGACATCAAGTCCCAACCTAAAGATGGGAAGAGTGCCAGACTGCTGAAGATTCGATATAGTCGCTTATTTATAGAGTTCTCATCATTCCTCGGACAATACCACCCCATCGAATTCTCCCATAGTAGCACGATAGACAACACTGAATTCGCTGAAATGATACTAAAAAATTTAGGTAGCAGGCGTGGGGAACTACAAGCAACCGTTAAGGCAAGCGTGTTGAATCTGAATGGTCTTCGCTTAGTAGACGCTCAAGTGCGTCATTATACCAAAAGTTAAGTTAAGGTAAGTCCTCAAAAGTTTCATATATCATAAAGTTCGTGAGAAGAAATTGAGGCTTCTATTCAACCTGTTTGACATTGCTGTCCTCTCTTTCCAGACAAAGAACCTGTGACGGTAAGATTAGCAAGCGATCAGCATCATCTCACGAGTTGGACAGAGAGATGTTTAGGTTTATTCTTGTCTGGAAGTGTAGAAAAGGAATCAGTCATGAAGAATTCGAATATCAGGACGGCCGGAGACAAACATGCATTTTTAGGAATGACAACTAGGTCGAATATCTGATCGTGAAACGATCTAGTGTCAACATCTGAATCTAGCGATACAGACTCTAAAATTCACATTCGTGCATGTAAAGCGCTGCTCAAGGGAAGCTAAAAACGCTTTGTCCCTCGGACGAGCAGGATCCTTAATAGTGCTCGAACTCGTAAGGGGAACAATGGAGACGTTCTAAATCGTAGAAGTACGTACTGGGTGAATGTATCAGCTTCGAATGTTCTTGGCCAAACAAATCTTGTGTGGTTGGTTGCTACAGTCTACGGGCTTTTATAATGAATAATTAGATTTAGTTCATGTAATGTCTCCAGTTTCGCATTTTTTTTGCAGAAACATTGCTCAAACAGATGATGCTTCTCTACTCATATGACAGAGCTCCACAGTCACACCACATCTATTTGAACAGCAAAGCAAATGATCCATGTAAAGTGATATCATTAAAACGAATCATATGAGGGGCAGGAATAAGCCAGCAATAAGCAGCTTTCTCAGTCTAACAAAGGAACTACGCCAGTCACTACCATCACCTGCGGAGCAAATAGGAATTCAAAAAGAAAGTTTCGAGGTGGTAACAGAAGGTGATCTACGACAACCGAGTGTCTGAGTTTTTGCTCAAAGTTGGTTGTCCTTTCCTCTGGCGCTGCCGTCTGCGTTCAGCATCTTGAAACTTCAACACAACACCGTGAACAGGCACGTCGTATGTTCATGAACGTCGGGTTGGAACAGGCACTGACCCATCTCTATTGTAGCAGGAGTCCACTGCTGCTTACCCATAAAGATAGTGAAATTAAATCAGATGCTATGGCTGAGTGCGAAGGAATGCCAATATCATTTATGCTGTGTAAGAGCAGCCTCGATTGGCCAGACTTGGCATCCACTGCCTGTTCCAGTTCCCCTTGCACACACCGCACGCAATAGCAATAGTAGCGGCACCTGGTGATCTCCAAGCCTTCACACGTCAATCAGTAAATATCCGCTTTCATGATTTATCCCAGTACTTCCTCCTCTGCGGCTGGGTGTCGATGTTGGTTCCCTGTCTTCGAAGTCAGTATCTGTCAATCATTTGAGCCAGTAGCGTATTATAAGTATAGACCGCTGAAAGTACCACAACTGACTTCCATAGAAGTTCCGACAAAAAGGCTTCATCACCATCTGAATCAGCATGCACGAAAACCTATGTTTACCAGCTTCCACGTGAATTGAGGGAATTCGGTCTTTTTTCAAGAGGTGAACATTATTTTGGCTGTATCAAAAGTATAGGACCCGGTTACCATTAACCCGGTTGAAATGAGAAGTTAGGCATAGACAACTTGCCCGTTCCAGAGAAACTAATAAGTAGGATGAGTACTCTGCACAATATCGCAAAATGCCACGAGGTCCACATTTGTCAGAAGCCGAGTAGGCACAGGTTCGCGCCCTGCACACAGCAGGCCTGAGCAATTCGTCGAAATGCTGAACAACTGCGGCGTTCATCAAGGTCAATCGACCGATTTCTACATGACCCAGGATCTGCGGAGAAAAAGGAGTTCTGGGAGGCCGAAGAAGCTAACTCCACAGCAGGAACGTGCGATTAGACGCCTCGTTTCCAACTCGACTATCAGCATCAGTTGAGTTCGAGCCACCTTACCGGGTCCATTGTCAGAATGACGACATGGTAGGGCAATCAAGCGCAACAACAACATAGTTAGGTGTCGTTTCTTTCCTGCTCCCCGACTTACCGACGCCCACAAGGAGGCCCTGCCCCAGTTTGCCAGAAAGAACATGCCTGAATTGATCGAAGGTCCGCGGCTCTCAAGTTGAATTGCTGTTTAGGTGACATTTACCGGCGAGAAGTAGTTGTATTTGATTTGCAGTCAGCTCAAGATGAAAGCGTTTCCCTTACGCAGGACCGGAATACTTCAGTAGAGTAATTTCGACGGAGGTAGCGTGATGGTTCGGGAGGATTCTATCAAGGCTTGAAATCGCCTTCACCTACCCACATATGGACTCGTCGGACTATCAAGACTTGCTATGTCGTCATCTACTACATTTTCTTGCACGTCTCGAAGGAGGAGAATTTGTTTTTCAACAAGACACTGCGCGATCCACGCGAGTAGGTCCACAAACTCATACCTAGAGGGGCGAGATATAGCCACCATGGGCTATCGTAATCATAATCCATAGAGAGCATGTAGGCATCCTAGTCGGAGATATTTGCCGCCAGGGACAATTTGTGAAGTCAGTGCGATCGTCAGATGCAGTTAGTCGGAGAGATTTGTTTCCAACTTGTAATTTTGATAAAAATAAAGGATAAAGCATTTGCCGTTGATCAATCCCTTTGGGATGCGGCACGCATTCTACTTCCATTTGTACATTCGCAGTGGCATTTGAATGCGATGTGGCCTATACAATGACTTGCGGGGGCCAGCCGATGTTCAAGTCAGTGTTTTTATCCTCCCAGACAAGTCTGGTACCAATTAACCGACCCCGGAGGGATGGAAGGCTTGGTTGGCCCGGGCGACTCACGACCCAGGATTTGATCCCGGACCGCTCGCGTGGTGAGCGCGCCACTTGTCACTACACCACTTCCGCCCCTGTATAATTAGCTAAATTACTGCCAAATGAAATTCTTCGAATTCAAAAATCGAATTTGTCGCATAGAGAAACTATTGGTTTATTCAGTGTTTATACTCGCTTTGTATCATAACACATTATCAGATTCTCCCAGGCGCTCCTAATCTTATACAGCCAAATTTCTTCGGTGCCAGTCTGGTTCTTTCATCAGGTCATGGATTTTTAATGGGAGCAGTCAATCTCTGACTGAAGGAGATAGTGAAGCTGTAGCCCCTACTGCCATCACAGACTCAAGGTCTCCCTGCACAACCTGTAAATCCAAAAAGTCTGTTAGCGAACCCGTTCCCAGGAAAAATCACTAAAGGTCGAGGTGATGGTTAACGAACATTTCTTGAAATGAACTCGGAAGGCACTTTGAAAGGGATTCACCTCCTAGAACGTAGGAATGACAGCACTGTGGTCCTTCAGGGATTTGTGAAGAGAAACTAGTCACCAGGATGTAGAATGAGAACATTTCCTCTCATGTGATTCATTATGATGATATCACTTTACATGGATCATTTGCTTTGCTGTTCAAATAGATGTGGTTTGACCATGGAGTTCTGTCACATGAGCAGAGAAGCATCATCTGTTTGAGCAATGTCTCGTAAAAAAAAGCCAAATTGGAGACATTACATGAAGTAAATCTAATTATTCATTATAAAAGCCCGCTGGTAGAAACTGTACAACCATCACAAAAATTTTCGCTTTCCTCAGATCTTCAACAGCTTTCTGTTTTTTGTCTAACCTGGCCGGTCTCAATGTCTGATACATGGCTGGTCTGAGTCAGTCAGGACTCATTTGATATTATCTGGAAATGTTTCAGATGTATGTTCACACCTTGTTAGCTGTTGCTGTGGCTGTAGCAGCACTTTCGGTGAGCTTTATGATCACATGAACTGTAAGAAGTTTTTCGATTAGCCAAAAATGGGTTGAGGCCATTACTGCAGCTTACCCCTCGACTATTACCCTAGCATTACACGACAAACACTTCCCAATAACATTGGCGTCGGAAAATGACAGACTGTGGACCTATAAAATGATCAAACATAAGTTGGCAGTTCATCCTCTCAACAACAATGACGATCATTTCCCGTCGTCGATCAAGGAATAATGGCCTCGAAACTGGCCATCAACGCGTTAATGCCCTAAACACTGTTTTGTTCTCCATACTTTTCATTTCCATAGATATTAGATTGAGCGCGATTGATTGGAGCATCAACTTTGTAGAGTTTAGAGAGGTGCGGGGAAATACGGAGTATAGTGTCTTTTTTTGGCCACCCCTGTATAGGTAACGTATATTATTATATTATATATGTATTCCAACATTTTCTAGTACACCTGATACTTGCTGTTTAGGTAAAATGCATCATGGAGTACTGGAAACTTTTCCTTTCCGGTATTTGCTGCTTTCAAAAGCTTAAAATATTATTTGTAAAGAAGAAGCAACTTCAAGAGACGATATATCACAAAATATCTCTCATGTTTCAGGATCTGCATGTGACAGCAAAAGAGACGCCTGATGCGAAATCTACAAAACTTCTCTGAGACAGCCACCGTGCTGCCGTCAACGAAGCTACAGAAAGCTCAAATCCCTGTGCAGCCTGGCCTTAACCTGGGAGCCTTTTCGAATGGCCTCGGAGGATTCGGTGGAGCTGTGCCTGGAGGACCAGGAGGAAACTCATATGGAGGACCTGGAGGAATCATAACTGGAGGACCTGGAGGACAAATACCTGGAGGACCAGGTGGACCAATGCCCGGGGGATCTGGAGGATTTCTGCCAGGAGGACAAGGAGGATACCCCTACGGTGGACTAGGAGGCTATCCATTTGGAGGATACCCCTATGGAGGCTCTGGGGTATATCCGTACGGCGGAGTCGGAGGACCAATGCCTGCAGGACCTGGAGGATTTCCATTTGGGGGAACTAGAGGACCGATGCCAGGAGGACTGGGCGGACCAATGACCGGAGGATCTGCAGGATTCCCATTCGGGGGAAATGGAGGACCAATGCCAGGAGGACCAATGCCTGGAGGACCTGGAGGACCAATGCCTGGAGGACCTGGAGGACCAATGACGGGAGGACCTGGAGGACCAATGACGGGAGGACCTGGAGGACCAATGCCTGGAGGACCTGGAGGACCAATGCCTGGAGGACCTGGAGGACCAATGACGGGAGGACCTTGGAGGACCAATGCCTGGAGGACCTGGAGGATTTCCATTCGGAGGACGCGGAGGTCGTAGAGGAGGTGGAAGATCCCGTCATGGAGCACATAGATGGTGAAGAAGCTCCTCGATCCAAAACTGATAAAGAATTTTCAATATAATTGAAAATACTAATAAAATTGCTTGCATCGTGTTCAGCATTACAAGGATTGTCCTTACCATGAGAAATCATATAACAGTAAT